TTGCACTAGTATACATTTTCTCATTTAAATGATCATATTTAACCCACCAACCTAATAAAAAAAAAAAAAAAAAAAATGTTTTAAAACATAGTAATTACTCTATGTCTTGGCTTTTAGTAAATGATTTTAGTTTTAAGATTGAAATGACCTATAAGCTTTATATGTAAGCTCTAAAAACAAATAAAATATTAATGTATTTGTAATTCATGTAATTAAAAATTAAAAAAATTAAAATAAATACTTACCAAGACAGTTTGTCTGAATATATATAAAGAATGATTAATGAATCAATGAAATTTTTAATAAAAGTTAATCAGAATAAAAACTCAAACATGTATAAGCTTCTGATTCTCCTTTTATAGCACTTGGAGAGATAACAAAACACAAAAATATTAAATAGATGATATAAATAGGAATAAGAGGAACTCAGTAAAAAATCAGAGACATTCTAGATTTATAAATTTACCGTTTAAAGGTGGTACAGATGGAACTAAAAGTAAAATTTGTTTTAATAAAAAATACAAATTGCAAATGGTAATAAATGCATTCATAGTCTAAAAAGTAATAATTTTTATATAAAAATGGTTTTAATTAAAAACCAGTTGATAAGAAATGCAATTGCAAAAAAGAATATGCAATTGATAAGAAATGCATACACATGTTAAAAGAAAAAAGGTTTTGAAACTTACCAGGCGTAGCCACACGTATAAAGAACTAAAGGTAAAAAATATATTATAAAAATCAATATTGCAATCAATGAGAAATTTGTGCACATTAAAAAGAGTTGTTTAGGTGTAGCACAAAAGGTAGATACTAAAATTACAATGTTGTAACAAAAAATCAATATTTTAAATAACGAGAAATGCATACACATAAAATGTAATAGTTTTTTAAATTACTAGTTGCAGCACATGACTAAGGAAATAAAGTTAAACATATTGTAAAGGAAATAAAGTTAAACAACTTTTTAATTTCACATTAAAAAGTTGTTTAACTTACCAAGTGTAACACAAAAGGTAGATACTGAAATTAAAAAATTGCAGCAAATGGGAAATCCATACACAACAAGTAATAATTAAATAAGTAGGAAATACATATATTTATTTATATTTCTTTAATGGTTAATAAAAGTTATGCTATAATAACTTACCAGCTGTAGTCTGTGCATATTGGAATAATGATAACAAAAAAATTGTATAATCAAAAAAAAAAGATCTTGAAATTGTCAACAGTCAATAAAAATAAGTTATTAAATCAGTTCTGCTTTACGTATAACAACTTTACTAACAAGAAAAAGGTATGAAAAAAAAAATTAAAAACAAATAATATTACTGTATTTTAAAATTATATTACTGTATATTAGAAAGACACCAACAAGATATAAGAATAAACTTATTATTGTAAAAGTATCTTGATATTTTTACAAAAATAAGCTTATTATTATAAAAATATTTTGTCAAAAACGTTATTGGCTTAAGCCAATAATGTTTTACTTTAAAGTATAATAATGTTGTTTGTATATTTTTATATATGGTGTATTAACAACATTGGTATCTGATACTAATAGTTAATAAAATATTCCAAAGTAACAGTTTAATCTTAAATCCTAATCTTTTTTAATATACCATCATTGGAATATATTACCATCATTGGTATATATAGTTTAAAAAACCTTAATCTTTGTTTACATGCCATGTAAACAAAGATTAAGGTTTTTAAATTTATCATTGTTTTGTTTTTTAAAAAAGTTATTATTATCATGAAAAACATATTAACTTACTTTTTAAAGTTTTCTTTTCCATAACTTTACCATTTTTATTTGAATTTTAATCTAATATTAAGAATTAAAATAATACAATGTTGTAGTAATTTTTTGTTTACAATCCGCTTCCCCCCTATCCTCCCCCGTATTTCTCTTACTGATAAAACAAAAACAAAAAAAACCGAATTTAGGTACCAAAAGTCCTACACTTCTTAAACTATCTGCTCCCAATTATTTTTTGCTGAAATTTGGCATGTGCAAAGAAAATGCATGTAAAAAATTGCCTGAATAACAAAAAAAGCGGACACGACATTCCTTCGACAACAAATTAATGTGAGAACATCAACGAAATTTTCTTGAAAGTTTTCAGCAAAACTAACCATAAAAAAGTTTAGTGATTATACATAAAAGTACTATAAAAATCAAGCCTAACCTTTCTTCTTTCCAAATATAACTTTTATTTATATATGTTTCTAAAAAGAAACACCACAAAAAACGTTTGTCTAACCCTACCTAAAAAAAGCAGTATATTTAATAAAGCACCTTGTAACATATCTGCTCCCAATTATTTTTCGTTGAAATTTGGCACATAAATAGAAAATGCATGTAAAAAATTGCCTGAATAACAAAAAAAGCGGACACGACATGCCTTCGACTGCAAATTCATGTGAAAACATCAACCAAATATTCAGGAGCAAAATAATCTGTTAAAAAGTCTAGTAACCATACATAAAAGTTTTAAAAAAGTAAAGATTAGCTTCTCTTCTTTCTAAAAAGTATCTATGTGTATATATGTTTCTAAAAAGAAACACCACAAAATTACGTTTACCCCACGCTGCCTAAAAAGAAGTGAAAAAAACGAGTAACAAAATTTTAGCAAAAAAATCGGTTCCGTAAATCACGATATGCGCGTACCTAATTTAAAGCAAGAATTGATCGATTGGAGTCAAACCATCACAAGACTCAGCTTTCATAGTGTACTTTAAAACCACACTCACTGGTAGCAATA